TTTACTGATTCTCTCACATTCTCCCTCCATAGTTTCCTGATTCTCTCACATTCTCCCTCCCTAGTTTCCCGATTATCTCACATTCTCACTCCTTAGTTTACTGATTCTCTCACATTCTCCCTCCCTAGTTTCCCGATTATCTCACATTCTCACTCCTTAGTTTACTGATTCTCTCACATTCTCCCTCCCTAGTTTCCCGATTATCTCACATTCTCCCTCCCTAGTTCCCCGATTCTCTCACATTCTCCCTCCTAGTTTCCCTGTTCTCTCTCGTTCTCCGACTTACCATCTCTAACATGTTGGATGCGGCAGGCTGTCCTGGCGCCCTCCCAAGAGCCACTGTCTGCCGCGCCTTGTTGTGCGCATCCAAGATCAGCTGACGGTCCGCACAACTCAGCCCACCGCTTCCTGTTCGTCGTCGGGTGTTCCAGACAGTAAACAAAAACTAAACCTTCTGGAAGTTGTCCCTTCAAATTTATGGCAGCTTAGAAAACAACTTTTTTTTTTTTAAAAAAAAAACAGGAATGAAAGTAAACCTTAGTTTTTAATAAGGGCGTAGTAACACTTTGGCAAATGGAAGCTGAAGGTGCGGCCGAAACATGGAGTTCGATAAATAGTGCTTGAAAGTGACAAGCTGTTGACATAAAACCAGTAAAGGAACTGGGATCGTGGACGGGTTTGAAATGCGGGAACTTTGAGCCCCAAGGAACACGCGTACACTTTTTTGTTTTAACTAGCGAAGATGCCCCCAGCGCTGAGCCCACATTTATTTCTCAAATAAACTGCACTGAAATAACGTGACACATGAAACGTCTTTAAATTATTTCTTTATGTTCGTAACTAAGCGTACATTCTTACTAGATTAATCTTTAATTGATTCTTTAATAATGAATGCACATAAATCCCTTCCGAAGTTATGTTCTGTATTAAGAAACAAATAATAAATTATTATTTATCATTAAATGTGACCTCGCACTTTTTATCCTCACATCTTAACTGAGATACAATAAAACAGTGGCGTTCAACCTTTTTTGTTCGCGTACCCCCAGATATAATTTCTCTTCGACTTTATACCCCCAAAGTTGTTGGTGTATAATTCAAGTTATACGTAGTATATAATCTACATCTAAAATAAATTAAATAAATTACATTACTGATTATTCAATGTTTATTATATATTTTTTTTAAATTTCACGTACCCCCTAAGATGTCTTCGCGTACCCCCAGATATAATTTCCCTTCGACTTTATACCCCCAAAGTTGTTGGTGTATAATTCAAGTTATACGTAGTATATAATCTACATCTAAAATAAATTAAATAAATTACATTACTGATTATTCAGTGTTTATCATAAAATAATATATATTTTTTTAAAATTTCACGTACCCCCGGGGGTACGCGTACCCCAGGTTGAATACCACTGCAATATAATATCATCCCATTTGTATCTGGGTGTTTAAAATGGTCTCTTCCCTAGATCTGTGTATCAATTTCTTATCTCCCTTATGCGTGTTACATGTATCGTCCTCACCCTTAATTTATTTCGTTACCCCAAGGAAATTTGATGATGAACAGAAATTATGAAGCCTCTCATTAGTCCATTTTGCGCGTGTCTTTGTACACAGAAGCAATCTAGCTCTAAAGAAATATAAATCAAAGCAAATAAAAGGCCAGAATGAAAAGGGGAGTGAGGTTAGGTTAGGTTAGGTTCGCCTTTCGAACCGGAAAACCGATCTTCATTTGCATTGTGTACTTACGAAGCAGCGTTTTTCCAGCACACGACTCTTGGTAATAAGCGAGGCTGGTCGCTAGGTAACCGAACAGTAGGAACCACGTCATCTGGCGTCCTCTATTGTGGGGCGCCATCCTGAATAAAGCATTCATTAAACACTCTGATCGATATGATACTCATTTCCCTGGGGAAAAATTCTCACCAGTGCTTTTCATCGCCCTGGCTAAGTCCAAATTCAAATGTGCGGCCAAAATTTATTATTTTGTTCTGTTTCGGTGGCGAGGGGAACGGCTTATGGCAGAAAGTTAAATACTAAGGTTAAGACGGCCTAAGCGTGTGGTTCATATGCAAGGAAAACTAATTAAACACAAATTTTTCGTTGTGGAAAACAGAACTTGTACATTGGAGCATTATAGCATAGAAACAATTACCGAACGTTACGCCACGGTGGTCTAGCGGTTAGAACGCTGGCCTTGTAATCCTGGGGTCTCGGGTTCGATTCCCGGCGGTGCCCGAATTTATAACTTGTGTTGGGCAAGGCCGTGGTCTAGGCAACACGGAGTTTTCCTCCGGGGGCTTCCCCGGTTTCTCTGTGGCATCCCAACAATTACTCCATTCACACACAGAAGAAGGCAATGGCAAACCACTTCTGGATCATCTGCCAAGAACGTATATGAACAGGTCCCAGTCCGAGAAGAGAAAAGGATGGAAGGATCCTGTTCATATGGACCTGTCCTCAGACAGAACACTAAATAAATAAATACGGTTGAGTAGTTAGCGGGAGGTCCCGGGTTAAAATATCGACCCGGAGACCGGTTATCCTGACTTGGGTTTTTTCGTATTTTTCAATATATTATCCACTACCACCCTCTCACTCTGAAAAAAAAGCGTCATTGAAGAGACTATAAATAAAATAAAATAAATAAATATAAACAGTTGTGACTTTTGAGACTCTCGAGATATCGATAATGCTCGCCGTGTGACGTCATAACTAGGGCGAACAACAGAAACGTTTCGTAACGATGTGATTTGAGTTGAATCGGATTGGAATCGACTTTAGCTTCGTCCTTCGGGTCTCTAGACAAGACAGTGAGTCTGCCTGGTGAGTAAATTTGAGTGCGGAATGTCTTGTAACTCCATCAAGACGCGATAGCCATGGTCAACACGATTTGCGACAGCCACGAGTCGTTTTATACGTGTGACACAGTAATACAGCTCATAAGTAACGTGTTACGAGGAAATTTGCCTTTCAGGTGATTTAATTAGACCATGGAAACTTTAGACTTTCTGCAGTATTTGATGATGATGATGTTGATAAAGAATCACAAGTAATAGAGTTGCGTCATATTGTGAAAATATATATTTAATTAATTAATCTTGTCCGTCTAATCAGAATTTAAAATTTAAATTTTAAATTTAAATGTTTCGATAAGGAGCATCACATGGTATTTTAATTTTAAATTTTAAATTGTGATTAGACGGACAAGATTAATTAATTAAATAAAGAATCACAAGTAATAGAGTCCGTACCGCAAAGAGAACACCGCTTCATCATTGCAAAGATCAGTCTGTTGACGTTATTTAAGGACATAATAGATGTTTACACTAAGAATCATACGAAACACAAATAAAAATGCTACACTAAGAATCATACGAAACATAAATAAAAGTGTAGACCCATTGATTTTTAAAGCAGGTGGTACGTATATTTACCAATATGTTTGGAAAGGATTGGCAAAAATGAAAAGATAAGTGGGCTAATGCTCTTTGTGTTTTGTAACAACAGCTCCAAATCTTGTATTTAACAGACACGACACGTAAAGATTGGAATTAATTATACTTGGATGAAAGAATTCCAGTGTTGGAAGTTAGTAAATTCTGAACTGCGTAAAAAATTTCGTAACAGTTTCCAAAACAGAACACGCACATCAATGAATATTAGCTAAACGTTGTTTAATTGAAATGTCGCTCAGGCATTGATGTCTTTAAATTCACGTATTCCAGTTAAAACACAGAAATTGTCACTAAATAAAGATAAAAGTAAACATTTAGACTGAGGGTGGGTAACAGTTGTTTCTAAAATGTGGCAAATTTCTAGTATTTTTAAAGAAAGCAACAAATCAAAATAGCATTCACTTACAACACTTCATATAAATCCCTGGGTGGGGGATCATCGTACTGAAAAGTCTGTGTTACTAAAATAATTAAATCTATGGATGACATCCCTTTGTGGGACGCTGATAGTCTTTAAGCTGGTCAAAGTACTACCCGCCTTCTATGGAAGTCTGTTCAGTGCATGTTAAACCAGCACACTTTTTATTTAAGATAACTTTTTTAATATTATCCTCGCGTGAATAAGATTAATTAAAAACAATACATGCATTTTCGGGTTAAGCCTGAGTGGATAGGCATAAGGTATCGACTGTATTACATTATTATCTGAAATGGACCCAAACAGTGCTGCCAATCGCACGTGACGTATGAGCGACGTTTCCCTGCACCACAAGAATTTTGTAAGGCACAAAAGAAAACCGCCACTGGTTGAAGTGTATCACCTGTTCTGAAACTTACCTTGAACTGTGAGTAAATACGATGAAAAATTTCGCTACGATTTTCTGATCTGGAGTTTGAATCTGACTCCGTTACTAAACTTTTGTAATGAAAATTACTGCCTGAGGAAGAAATTGTTCGTTTCCGTTTGTTAAATTCTCGAACTGGGCGCAGCGTAATTGTTCAGAGTAATTTTTGAATTTGGATTAAAACGGTGTTGACAAAGAGTTCTGGAACCTTGACTCCTGTTGAACTCCAGAGAAATAACATTTCGTGTTGGAACATTTAATTTCAAACACTTCTGTACATAGGAAACCGGTTCTCATAGACGCTTTATTAAGTCTGTGATAGAAAAGAGAAAAAAACAAAACTTATTAGCGAGTATATTTAAAAGAAAGAACGTTTTTCTGATACTTGTGAAATGTTAATCACACACACGAATACAGCAGATCTCCGTCGATGTGAACGGGTCGCTTTCAGATTTGCAACTAACCTCGTCAACTTCCTTCACCGCGTCTTTTTATATGCAAGATGATAGAGTTCCCTCCACTTGCCTGCTGATCAGAACGTAAGTGGATTATGTCCACTCGACTACCTATCTCTCGCCTGTAGCTCCTGTCTCTTCCCGCCTCGGGGAGAGTTCCCACTGTCAAGACCGCGAAAGGCTTTGTACACGAATAGAAATAATTTGAAAAGTAAATGAGATAGAAAAAACGAGTTATGAAGCAGGCTACACCCTGGCAACCTGACATCCACTCAGCTGGTCAACAAATTTCCCTCCTTTCATAAAAACGCGAAGGTTTATTAATATATTCACAAAATATGATGAATTCTTCTCGGCCTATAAGCACGGACAGGATCTCCAAACACTTAAGTACTCTTAGGAAAATGACGAAGATGGTACTCGAAACATTGGTGTCTTCACGTAGCCCGAGAATTCAATATACTTAGTCGCTGTGTAAGCGTCAGATCATTATTTATTTATTTAGTGTTCTGTCTGACGACAGGTCCATATGAACAGGATCCTTCCATCCTTTTCTCGGACTGGGACCTGTTCATATACGTTCTTGGCAGATGATCCAGAAGTGGTTTGCCATTGCCTTCTTCTGTGTGTGAATGGAGTAATTGTTGGGATGCCACGGAGGAAAACTCCGTGTTGCCTAGACCACGGCCTTGCCCAACACAAGTTATAAATTCGGGCACCGCCGGGAATCGAACCCGAGGCCAGCGTTCTAATCGCTAGACCACCGTGGCTGTCGTCAGATCATACGTGTTTACAAAAACCCGCCAGTCCATTTCTCTCACGCATTTCTTTGACATGCATTACAGTACCTCCCTCCCATCTACGTCTAGATCTCCCACGTGGCATCTTCCTTTAGAAAAAAATATTTGTATTTATCCATGTGTCGCCCATTTCGTCTACCTACAAGTGTTAGGTAAAGCTGTTCGTAACCTACTACGTCAGAGTGTATCCGTGGCTTTCGGGGATAAAACGCGTAGATTGTCGGACGTTTTTCTAGCTTTTCGGCAGGGTGAATGTTTCGAGAAGCAACTAAGCAAACTGCTACCTGACGACGGATTCTAGAGCTAAGCACAAGACGACAACCACTGCTCTGCTAAACCAATCATAGCTGAATTTTAGAACAAAACCTTGTAAACGGGGATGTGCTTGAACCTATGGATTTTGTTGTCTTCGCCTAAGGCCTTGACGTGTTCAGACTGAGGTATTCTACTGCTGGTGGGCGGGGACTCCCATCAGGTAGTTCGATCTTTGCGAAAAGAACTTTGGCTTAGCTACCTAGAAAGTTGATTTCGCACTGCGTCTTGGGGTCTTACTTCGGGTGAAGGCCTCCGTGACTAGGGTAAGATTATCGCGCCCTTTGCAAGATATACCCTCTCGTTTTCCTTGCAACCAACAAATTCTCGTGAATCTGTCTGTTAATAACAAACCAAGACGCGTTATTTGCAATGCAAGGACATTTTGGATTGCAACACAAAGCAGCTTCTGGACCGGGCTATGAGTAGCGGACCTCCAGATTTGGCATGGGCGGATGAGATAGGAAAATTATGTCATCTGAAATCAATCTGCGATTCTCACATCCATTTGGTTGCCTCGCGTTGGACATTGTGTAACATACGAAGACAAAATATATTTCTCACCAAAGTATCATGTCTCCAGAAGGAAGACAAATTTGGAAGCGTTGTTTAGGAAAGTAATTGATGCTGGTATAACCGTCGTTACTTGAAATAAAGAAGTGTAGACAGTATGATTTGAGGTTTTCACAGCGGTGATTATGAAGATTTCTGTCTTCTGGGTCATACTGCCTCCGTCATCAGGGCGATGAATATCGCCCTGATGACGGAGGCAGTATGACCCAGAAGACAGAACTTAATTCCTATTTATTACGATAATCACACGAAACACGTAATCACAAACTTTCCAGGCAAAATACAGAGTTGTTGATTATTTAAGAAGAAATAGCATCAGAGTTGCCTGCCGTGCTCCTACCAATAACGAAGGCTGGATCAGGCAATAGGAAATACGGACAGAGTGACCTCGGCGATAACAGATCACGTTGGCCCACTCCATCACCGGACAGACTTTTGTTTGCTGAGGTGGGGCTAACAGGTAAACAGTGTAATCTGAGACGCCTTCTACGTGTTGAACTCTGTTCGTAGGACTGGACACACCTCTGACTTGTTGTTGTTGTTACTGGCTTGGCAGAGGCCATGGATAGAGGACTCTAGCAGCAAGTCTTTCTGTCTGTTCAGTTGCGATTAGCTTCGACACAGTATAAAATATGTTCCCGCAATAAGAGTTTGGACAATATCAGGACCAATGACGTCTACAAAGCACGAAGAACGTGTTCAAAAAATATGTATATTCCATTGGAGTACACTTTTATATTATAATTCTCGAGTGGGGGTTGCAATTTATAACTGTGGCTGCATACAGCGCCTCTGTCGGAAGTGAATTGATTTTAAAAGCATCCTCGTCAGTGCGACACACGTCAATATCATGGATTTATTGCAAATGTGAGTCATATTGCAACCCAGAATGCACCGCGATGAATTTAGTCGGACGGGATGAGGGCCCTTTACAAATGTAGTGCTGTTTCATAATACTTTTAGTAACAAAAACCTTATGACAGGCTCCTTCGAAGTTCAGTAAAAGGAATAAAGGGTAGCCAATATAACAAAACTAAAGATTTAGTCTTAAAATAACATTCTAAGATCTGTTAGTGTGTCAATAAAGCTATCAGACATTTTTTGATAGACGTGATTGAAGGATATCGCGTAATTAAATATTTCAAAATCCTTAATCGTCAGAAAATATTCTTATGACTATCAAATCATGGGAAAGACATGTAGACCGACTTGTAACGGCTCACAATAGGTGATTAATAATCCTGTAGGGACTTAAAAGTACTTGATCGATGTAAAATTATAGACGAGAATTATTTTGTACGGTGAATTGGAAAGGGAGCGATCATGGCCCCTTTTGTTATACTATCCAGGGATTATTTTAGGACAGCGTTTATGAACATTACTTCTTGGCGTTTGAGTGAGGCTTCAGGGACCGTTTTCAGTAGGTATATACTTAATTTTTGTCTCAAGATACGTTTGATTATGCCGTATAAAATCAACAAGATGTTCATGTGAAGACATTTAATTTAAACAAATTAATTATTCTATATTCGACTATGAACTAGTATTAAGGACGTGTATCTCACATGTCTTCTGATGATATATGCACCCCATATTTATAATCGCCGGCCTATAAACACCGACAAAACATTAAGTAAGATATCCATTATCGTAACCGATGATCCAAAAGAAACTTGAAATATTTCTAACAGACACGCACTCGAGACAAACGCAGAAGGTTAGCTGTTGAATGAATCTACGTATCAACTCAGAACATTTGCTTGTTGACTCCATGACAAAGTCTTACTTCATTTGTTAATTACATTTATTACGGAACCTAAATGTCCATCTCCAGCGTGTTACTTCCATTCGGCTACTTTGACGGGCTTAAAGAGTCATAGGATGCTGTGATGATTCGTAGGAAATTATTTATGAATCTTTAAATTTGTACAGTGACCTTGTGTACGTAGACAAAAGGTGTGGTCTGGGAAAGTCTTAAATGTTAGGGTGTTGGAGAATAAGTTGATATATTACTGGGAACTTCGAATTTTTCTGTCCTTCGTGAAATATTTTATGGTAAGTTTAAAGTGACTTGTGACGGGGATGTGGAATCGAGAAAAACAATGTAATTAAAATTGTCTGCAGCGGGTAAACCGATTATATGCATATTACTGACAGATTTATTACTGTGTTAAGTTGCTCTCTTGGACTTCGTTCGTCGTCGACATCATTTATTATTTGAATTGATTTTATCTGTCTGACGACAGGTCCATATATTATGAACAGGATCCTTCCAACCTCTTCAGGTTGTCAGGGACCTGCTCATACATATATACATTCTTGGCAGAGGTGATCAAAAGTGGTTTGCCATTGCCTTCCTCTGTGTGTGAATAGAGTAATTGTTGGGATGCCACGGAGGAAGACTCCGTGTTGCCTAGACCACGGCCTTGCCCAACACAAGTTATAAATTTGAGCACCACCGGGAATTGAACCCGGGACCCCAAGCTTACAAGGCTAGTGTTCTGACCACTAGACCACCGTGGCGGTTCGTCGACATCATAACAACTTAAAATTACGTTTCGAAAGCTGGATTCTCCTTTCTCTATGAGGAACGAGGTACAGGTTTGGGTTAGCTTAACCAGGAGGTCCTATAAATAGGTTTGACTGTCCTTGTTAAACCTGATTTTTCGCCTGATAACGAAAGAATAATCCAGCTTTTTCAAATATCGCGATTTTATAATTTAGACAACGGACAGAGTCTATAAGATCAGCGTAAATCTTCAGAATTACAGATTTATTATTGCTTGTAATTGATGGGATCCATACAGAATTAATTTCGTAATAACTCGCTATTTATCAAACGCACTTCGGGGAACGGACAGTTCCTAACGATTGGCAAAGGCATTGGCAAATTCAGTTTTCACATACAGTTTTATGAACGTGTGAAATGGAATTCAAACACCCGGGATATTGTTCAGCGGTGATCTTTTGTGACGACATTGAATCTCCGTGTCAGGGACACTTTTCGATGTGCCAATGCTTTTAACAGGAACGGGTGTTAGTTTTCTACTTGCGTTATTGTTCTTGTCCAATTATTTATTTGCAAGGGAAGAGGACTTAAGAGAAAATTCCACTCCAAGACGGGACCTTGGCAGAAATCTCACCCGATCCTGTCTTTGTGGCTTAGTCACTTCTGATTCTCATTCGAGCGGCTGAGAGGCAAACACTTGGATGATCGGCGACGCAGTTGTCTTTAATTTATCGTATTTTCATGTTGCCTTATTATTATTATTATTAAAAATGACATTTGTGTCGTTTATGACACTTTCGTATGTGG